GAGAGAGAGAGAGAGAGAGAGACAGAGAGAGACAGAGAGAGAGAGACAGAGAGAGAGAGAGAGAGAGAGAGAGAGACAGAGAGACAGAGAGAGAGAGAGAGACAGAGAGAGACAGAGAGAGAGCGAGGAAGAAAGGAGGTTAGTGCATCATGGGAAATCCATGGGAAGAGATGGTTCAGGACTCACCTGATCCTGCCCTAACTATAAGCTAATATATGTATGTTTACAGAATATATGTATATTTGTATTTATGTTCATAGAATTTATTTCTGGTTATATTTATGTTTATAGAATTTATTTATTTTTATAGAATTTATTTATGTTATAAAAGTGTTTATAGAATATATTTATGTTTCTTTGTGGCTATGAAACATCCCTCTATCTCTCACAGAAACATTAATAAATGTTGATTTTAATTTATGTTAATATGAAAGTTTCCAGCAGGTGGCGGTAATCAGCTGAGCCTCCAACCATCTGCAATGACAGACGAAGAAGCAGCTGTAGTCTCGCGATACTGTGCTGCACGCAGTGAGATTTGGTGTCTTTGTGTGGAGCGCAGAGAAGCTAACAGCTAAACAAGAAACTGCTGTTTAATTGCAGGTTTGTTAGCTTAGCATCAGCACAACATCTATTCTCGGATCGATATTAAAGAGGCAGACTGCCACTCACCTGTCCGCCCCCGATACAGGTAAGAAACATGACGTGTGTTAGCAGTGTTAGCTCCCGCCGTTAGCCGCCTCGCCTCTTTGTGTGAGCACGGTGCTAACATGTGGCTAACGTTGTTAGCTTAGTGTCGTTAATCGATCACAAACACAGAGCTCACCTGATCACCTGGGACCAGACCCGGGCGGGAAACGCTCCTGATGGTGCAGTTTGTCCCGGACTGATTATTGTCTATCGATCAGCTGACAGTAAAGAGATCACTGATAAGCCAGATCACATGTTAATGCCCGACTGATCACTGCTGATCACTAATCAATAGGAACAATCAATAACAGGAAGCTGGTGTCTTTCAGACGCAGTGAAACACCTAATTCATCTTCATGGCGCTGAGACGAGGACACATCAGGTACCTGAAGGTGAGTGGATCAATAACTCCCCGATCGGATCAATAACTCCCCGATCGGACACAGGTGGATTAATGATTTGTGTGTCTCAGGTGTGTGAAGTTCAGACATCTCAGAGTGATGTCAGAGATGGTCAACACGCCGCCAAAGGATCCGTTGGAAAGGTGAGCGCCACCGCCGTGTGTTCCAGAGAGTTGCATTGTGGGAGCCGCAGGTGTGTGTGATGTCATAAAGGTGTGTGTGTGTCCTCAGGAGCTGTATGACAACGGCTACAGCGAGCAGATGATGGAGGACGATGACTCCAGAACCAACCTGATCGTTAACTACCTGCCGCAGAGCATGAGCCAGGACGAGCTGCGCAGTCTGTTCAGCAGCGTCGGCGACGTCGAGTCCGCCAAACTCATCCGGGACAAAGTGGCAGGTAACTACTACTGCAGACCGGGACCGGTACCGGTACCACAACACCAAACCTCCACCACAGCACAACGTCAACGGCCCGAGCTGCAACCGCTTCACACGCACATTCAAAAGTACCGCAGCATTACTCCTGCGTACTACTGTAGTACTACACTCTAACAGTACTGCAGTACTACAGTGGTAGTACTACTACACTCTAACAGTACTACAGTACTACCACAGTAGTACAGTACACTATCACAGTACTACAGTACTACCACTGTAGTACTACTACACACTAACAGTACTGTAGTACTACTTTATGTGCTTAGTGCTAAAGCTGCTAGTGCCTATAAATACCACAGTATGACTGAGCTATAGGACGTATGAGTAGAACTACTGTAAGGACATGTTGTACTACAGTACTAATACTGCAAGTGAACCTGATAGAGGGTTAGTACTACCTGCAGTAGTAGTATCAGTAGTATTATTATTAGTATTAGTATCAGTAGTAGTAGTAGTATTATTAGTATTAGTAGTAGTAGTATTAGTATCAGTAGTAGTATTATTAGTATTAGTATCAGTAGTAGTAGTAGTAGTATTAGTATCAGTAGT